TTTTTTGATTTATTGTAGAGATGAGGTCTCGCCAAGTTGCCCAGGCGGGTCTCGAACCTGCGGGCTCAGGCAATCCACTCACCTCAGCCTCCCAAAGGCGCAGGATTACAGGCTGAGCCACCGAACCCGGCTCCAAATTGTAGTTTTAAAGGGATCTGAGGGGGGTCTTGAACAGCCCGGATGAGCATTTGTTGTTGACAGGGTTAGTGCTGTGTAGACCGTCAGAAACGGATGGAGGATGAACACAGACTCTGGGGCCAGCACAGTGGGCAGGAGCCCACAGAGACAAGAGGGATGGGGGGAGGAGTGTGGCAGAGTGCCCTGGGGTCCTCTGGTGGGGAGGGAATCGCCAGTGCCACTCCTATTCAAACAGATGCCTCATCCTAGTTACACTAGGAGTTGCTGGGAGCCAAGCAGGTCCCCAGAGTGCAAGGTCTCCCTCATCTGGGAGCTAAGACCAGGTTGACTTGAGGCATATGTCCAATGATGACAGAATTACAAGGGAGCATATGAAAAGGGGGGAAGCAGCCCCCAAAGCATGTGCTGTGCCTGCTGAAGCAGCCATATTGTAAGAAAATTCTCTGCATACACGTGGGCTTACTTTCCATTTGTGACCAGGAGCCAAGATCAGGAAGCGGCTGCCATGGCTGCCGTATCTCCGTGTCTTACTTAACCTCTACCCATGGCTGTCTCCCCTCTTCTTCTGGCTCCTCCAACTCCCATGCCTCCTGCCCATCCTTCCTCTGATCTGAGCATTTTGATTTCTCTTTAAAGGGCTGTGGCTGAGCACAGTATCTCATGCCTATAATCCCAGCAACTTGGGAGGCCAAGGAAAAAGGATTGCATGAGCCTAGGAGTTTGATACCAGCCTAGGCAACATAGCAAGACCTCATCTCTACCCAAAAAAAATGTTTTTTGAGTTAGAATCTCACTCTGTCACCCAGGCTGAAGTGTGGTGACACACTAACAGCCACCCCAGCGTCGATCTGCTGGGCTCCAGCAATGCTTCCACCTCAGCCTTTCAAGTAGCTAGAACTATATAGGTGCATGCTATCACGCTCGGCTAATTTTTCATTTATTGTAGAGACAAGGTCTCGCCAAGTTGTCCAGGCTGGTCTCAAACCCCTGCAACATTTTTTTTTTTAAATTAACCAGATGTGATGGCATGCACCTGTAGTTCCAGCTACTCCGGAGGCTGAAGATGAAAGATTGCCTGAGCCCAGAAAGTTGAGGCTGCAGTGAGCCATGACCATGCCACTGCACTCCAGCCTGGGCAACAGAGTAAGATCTGACGCCAAAAAAAAAAAAGAAAAGACAGCTTTATTGAGGTGTGCTTGGCACACAGCTAATGTACATGTTTGAGACAGCTAATTCTCAGTGTGACTTTTGCATCCATCACAAAGCTATAACCCTGATGAAATTATGAGCCCTCTTCCTGCCCTTACGTTCCTTTCCCTGGCCACCCCAGGTTCACAGATTGCTTCTTTCACTCAAGATTAGCTGCATGTTCTATAATTTCATGTAAGTACAGAAGGACCTCGGGTCTTTTTTGTTTCATTCTGGTCTGGCTTCTTTCACTCAGCACAATTGCTTTGAGAGTCACCCTGCTGTGGGTGCCTTGGTGGTTCCTTCCCCTTTACTGCGAGCCTCCTGTGAAGGTATGGAGGTGCCACTGTCGCTTTCCCTTTTTTCCTGTGGCTAGGCATTTGAGGTTTCCCAGTTAAGGGCCACTGTAATAAGGCTGCTGTGAACATCCCGTACATGTGTAGGCTGAACACGTCCTTCATTCCTCAGGGTGCTTTCCTAGAAGTGCAGTGGCCATATCCATGGCAGGCACATAATGCCCTTGCTAAGGAACCACTGACCCTTGTTCTGAGTGATGCATTCCTGCTCTGCCTCTCGCTCCCCTTGATTTGGCCATCATAGCCTCTTGTTTTCTTCATATCCCAGGCCTTTTTCTCTGTCTTCTCTCGCTCCACATTTCTGCTCACTGCCTCCTCCGTGATCCCACTCTGATGCTCGCTCTACAGTTGCCCTCGATGACCCACCAAGTGGCCCCGCTCCATGCGTCGCCCATGCCCCACTTAGCACCCTACATATGCAAGGGCCCTGTAGGAAGAAAGCCTGTTCCTGAGGAGTTTCGAGCACGTGGAATAGTTCCTTTTTTTTGAGTTGGAGTCTGACTCTGTCACCCAGACTGGAGTGCAGTGGCTGCTTCCGGCCGCCGCAGCCTTCCAAGTAGCTGGACTCCGGCCATCCTTCCGCCTCAGCCTTCCAAGTAGCTGGAACTATAGGCACGCGCTACCACGCCCAGCTAGTTTTTGATTTATTGTAGAGATGAGGTCTTGCCAAGTTGCCCAGGCGGAACCCGTGGGCTCAGGCAATCCACTCACCTCAGCCTCCCAAAGGCGTGGGATTACAGGCTGAGCCACCGAACCCGGAGGCATAGTTCCTAATGGGTCTTTCTAGATGACTGTATGGGTTTTGTCACCCAGCGTCCCCCTTCGACAGAGCCCGTCCTGACACCATCTCTTTTTTAGTCCTCCAGAGCTGGCCCCGGCCATGTCTGCCTTTCCCGGCCCTGTGTCTGCCATGGAGCTGAGCCAGCCCCTGCCCTCCTCCAGCCAGGTGAGCTTTCCTGCAATCGCTGTGTTCTGTGTTTTCCCCTCTTCACTCCTAGATCATCCACAGCTCATGGTGCTGAGGAGGCCTTAGCTAGCGCTGTTGGAATGAATTAACTGGGAAGAGATGAGCAAAGGGCAAGGATGACTCAGGGCTGGACATTAGTGAACCAGGAGCTCGGGTTTGGGGCGCAGCAAGGTTGCATTCCTTTCTGAGTCCAGAGTGGGAGGGTCTTTCCAAGGTCAGGAGGTGCCCAGTGGGAAGGCAGAGGGAGCCTCTGTGTGTAACACTGTGTTGTCTTCCAGGTGCAGTGGTCTGACAGCCAGGCCTCCTGTGACGCTTTCTGGGGAGCCAGGATGCTCCTTGAGTTTTCAGGGGGCAGCCTAGGCTGAGCCATCCCTCAGGAGCCAGGCCAGCACCCCAAGAGGAGCAGGCGTGGCCGTTCAGCACAAGTTACAGTGCTTTATCCTGAATAAAAAATGGAGGTCCCCAGAGTTCCCAAGGAGTTCTGCTGAGAAGCATTGAGAGATTCTTTGTCCACTGCCGTGTTTGAATGGCTTGATTGGCAACTGTCTGTAGTGGAGAAAGAATTTGAGAAATGTTCCTGAGTGATCAGAAGTCAAAGGTGGTTGGTTCCACTCAGGCAGAGATAGATCAAGAGTTGAGCTCCTGGGCAAAGATGTGTGCAGTGAAGACCTTTCTAGAGAGAGAGAATGTTACTTGGGTGGCTGCCTTCCCACATGCCCATGCACAAGGTCAAACTTCACCTACTTAACTTTGTGTGTTAGGTGTGGAGATTGTTCTGACATTGATGTATTTGTAGGGACTTCTGCCTTGAGTCCTGAAAGACAAAGCTTACTGATAATGATTCAGGCAGGGAGGAATGGGGTGGATTTTCCCTTCAAGTTGTAGTTCATTGTGTTTGTGAAACAAGTGTTGTAATTAATTAAATTAAAGTTTAATGTTTTGAATGCCTTCCTTTTACTCATTCCACTGTGTGTCCTGGACATCTGCTCATGTCAAAGTGTCGAGATTAACGTCAGCCTTTCTAGCATTTCATGATGCAAGTGTACATACATAGATGCAGCAGGACCCAACTTATGGACATTTGGATTGTTTCTAATGTCTCTGTTTTATAAGCAGCATGAGGGTGAACATCCCTGTCCTCTCCCCTTTGCCCTTTACCTGGTTATTTTTGCAGGATAAATTCCTGGAAGCTGAATTTCTGGGTCAGTCATGGTAGCTCTAGGGGTGGACTGTGGATTCTGGGGGTGTCTCTGACTGACCCTGGGTTCACCTGCCCACATGGCCGTGAGAGCCACATGGGAGAGCCACATGGGAGCTGGACTAGGGGTCCACAACCCTTGACCCAGAGAAGTCAGATCCTGGCCCTGTTCTCAAGAACTCACAAGCACAATGACTGACCTTCCTGTGGAATCATGGGTGTAACACAAAGGGAGCCATGGCTAGGAGACCCAACAGTGGGGGTCAGGGGAGCAGGAGAATCTTGACCAGGATTGGACGCGGGGGTCCCGTGCCTGCCAGTTGTGGGATTTCCTGAAGGAGAGGCGAATAGTCAAAAGAAGGAACTTACGACGAAATAATATACTTGGACACCTGCTTGCAAGCCAGATGTCATTTTTTATTAGTTAACAGAAAGTTTTTATATGATTCGTAAAGGGGCAAGACAAAGAAAATTCCTTCACATACATATCCTTTAAAAGTTACCACCATCTAGGGTCTTAGAAGAAACGAACAAGCCAAGAACACTATCTACTTTCAGTTAATGAGGCTTAAGATAAGTTTGAAAGGAGTTTTACTTAAACTAAACATAATCCATACAAGGTTTACTTTGATTTCTGTTCCACATCACTTGTCTAATTAAAAAAGCCTTAAAATCACCAAAACAAAACTATAGATTGTACCTAGTGATAGTAGGAATATGAAGACCATTAACTTGACCAAACAACAGTGGCTAGCATTTAAAGAATAACTATGAAAGTGACTTAGTGTGAAAATACATACACTAGTCTTTACTCTGAATAAACATATAAAGTGAACTAAACATAATGAAATAAAACTAACACAACTAAAATTATTATGGTTGCG